ATAGATAGATAGATAGAGATTATAGATAGATAGAGATTATAGATAGACAGAGATTATAGATAGAGATTATAGATGGATATGATATGACTGATAGATAGAGATTATAGATGGGTAGATAGATATGATAAATAGATATTATAGATAGATACAGATTAGAGATAGATATGATAGATAGGTAGATAGATAGATGATAGATAGATAGATATGATAGATAGATAGATAGATAGATAGATAGATAGATAGATAGATAGATAGATAGATTGATAGACAGACAGACAGATAGATAGATAGATATCTTAGTGCAATTGCACATTTATATTACTATATTGCTAGCTCTAGAAAAACAAACACAATCAGCTCTGGAACTCACTCCAGCTTTAGTGAGAGAGGCTATCTCAAAAATAGGACGGAGAGTGACCGAGGAAGATGCTTATCCTGGCTAGTTTTATGTCAACAAGCTAAAGTCATCTGAGAGGAGGGAACCTCAATTAAGAAAATGCCTTCATTAGTTTGAGCTGTAGTAAGTCAGCAAGGCATCTTCTTGATTAGTGATTGATGGATGAGGACCCAACCTATTGTGGGTGGGGCCATCCCTGAACTGGTGGTCCTCGGTTTTATAAGAAAGCAGGCTGAGCAAGCCATGTTGAGCAAGCCAGTAAGCAGCACCTCTCCATGGCCTCTGCATCAGTTTTTGCTTTCAGGTTCCAACCCTGGCTTCCCTTGATGATGAACAATGATGTGAAAGTCAGCTAAACTCTTTCCTCCCCCAACTTGTTTTTGGCCATGGTGTTACAACATAGCAATAATAACCCTAACTAGTTCAATGCTTAATGTCAACTTCTGCTCTCAACCTGTACACACATGTACATGCATGTATACTCATGTACATATACACTATCTGAAAGCCACATTTAGTCTAACTCTTCTTCAGGTACTATATCACACTTCTTTGGGAGTTCAATGAAACTGGGTTAGCTAGCCAGCTATAACAGAATACTTATACCCGTGAGAAGTATACTCAATCAGCAAGCATTATTTTATAACTATAATTTATAGTTTATAACTACTAAACTGTTACTTTACAACTTTATAGTTTGGTTGTAAACACACCTCGGGGACTGGGGATGTAGTTCCCTTGCTAGAGTGTGTATCTATCATGCCCCCAAACCTGGGTTTAATTGCCAAAACTACATTAAACTTATATAGTGGTACATGTCTATACTCCAATGCCAGGGAGGTGGAGACAGAAGAATCTGAACCTCGAGGTTATCCTCTGAGTCTGAGGACTGCTGGCATACATGAAACCTTGACTCAAAAAGTAAAAAATAAAGTACAGGTAAATTAGTATATCCATGCTTACAGCAGCATTGTCCACAAAACAAACAAACAAACAAAAAACCAAAAGGAACGCACCCTGTGATGTTTTGAATGAGAATGGTCCTCATAGGCTCATGTATTTGAATACTTGATCCCCTGTCGGTGGAACTGATTGGGAAAGATTAGGAGGTGTGGTCTTGGAGGAGGTATGGCACCAGGGCAGGCATTAGGGCTTCAAAACTTCCCATCATTCCCAACTCAGTCTCTCTCTCTCTCTCTTACTCGTGGGTCAGAATGTGAGTTCTCAGGTGCTCCTGCCACCACACCTTTGCTCTGTCATCATGGACTCGAACCATCGGGAACTGTAAGATCAACTAAGCACTTTCTTTTGTGAGTTGCCCTGGCCATGGGGTTTTGTCACAGCGATAGAAAAGTAACAAAATGTCCATCAAGAGATAAGAAAATTATATACAAAATATAGCATCTACATATAGAAGAATATTACCACCAAGGCATGAAAATACTGACCCATGGTACGACATGAATAAACCTTAAGGGCATTGTGCTAAATGAAATAAGCCAGTCGCAAAAGGACAGATATGATGTGGTCCCACTTGCATGAGGTTCCTAAAGTATTGAAGTTCACAGAAACAGAAGGGACAGTGGGATTGCCACAGGGTGTGGAGAGGAGGAAATGTAGGTATTGCTTAATGGGTATGGTGCTTAAGTTTGGGACATGAAGAAAGGACTGGAGTCAGGTGATTGCACTTTCCAAATATCCTCAGTGCTACCAAAAAACGGCACTTTGTGTTTTGAAAGATGGCTGGACTGGAGAGATGGCTCAGTGATAAAGAGCACTTGTTGCTCTTGCCAAGGACCAGGGTTTGATTCCTAGCACTCACTTCAGGTAGTTCACAAATGCCTGAAACTTCAGTTCTGGGGATCTGATGCCCTCTTCTGGTTTCCAAGGGAACTACATGCACGTGGTGTGCACATAGAGGCAAACAGGCACACACACACACATACACACACATACACACACACACACACACACCACTTCTATTATAATATGAAAACAGTAAATATTGTGTTAGTACATTTTGCCACAAAAAGACCAACGAATGAGAGAAAGTCTATAGGAAAGGACATTTAAAATCTCTGTGAAGAAACTGTATTGTTTTGATTCCTTAAACTTATGAGGCATTTAACTTGCAAGAAATGAGCTAGCCCTAGAAATGGACAGGTTTTACTCATGAAAGGCAGCCAAGCTAATGATTTGCAGGGCCAAACAGTTTAGTTGGTACCAGTGTCCAAGGTATGATCACATGAGCAGGTAGCTGAGGTGAAGTGGAGAAAAAGCCAATAGAACCAAGATGCTAGAATGCCAAGTGGGACAAACACCTGAGTGGATAAATCACTGGGGGGATGTCAGAGTCTGAGGTGGAAGAATACTGAGGAAGGAGTGAAATTCTGTGAATGAGTGAGAAAGGAAAGTCTACGCTCTTGGGCGAGCATCCCTAGACTAGATTTAGCTTCATGGGTATCCAGCATATGCCAGCCGAGCTCACAAAGAGATGGCTTATATAAATGGAAATGACAGATCGCTAGCTAAGAAAAGAAATGCAGCAATCCCGTGGACTGTCCAAGCTGCAAGGGCAGCACATTCCTTCCCTGTGGGAAATGAGCGTGGGGAAGCACATTACAATCAGCGTTTGTCTAGGGAAGAATGGAATGAGAGAGAAAGGGTGGCAAAGGCTTACAGGGGGAGGGAGAGGGGGAAAGACAATGTTTAAATACCTAATGACACCATTTAATAATAATTTGATATTTCAGCCTTCAGTGTAAGGTCATGTGTTGCAGGGACCCAAAGTGCAGCCTTGGGGCTCAAGTGTCTCCCACTCACTGAACATTGAATAGGTATTGCCAGATTTTCCTCCCTCTGCCTCTCACATTCATACTCCCCCCTTCCCCTCCCTCTACTTTTCCCTCTTCTCAGACAGGCTGAACTTTCTCAGCAGCTCAGGTAGGCCTTGACCTTGAGATGTTCCCATTTCAGCCTCCCTGAGATTACAGGTCTGTGCTATCATGCTTGGCTAGCATCTCTTTTTCAATACTCACAATTCCAACCCCATTTTAATCAGCCCATTTATTTATTTATGAAAACAATGACATCACCTAGTGGTGATCCTTTATAACATAACTAAGAGGTTTCTGGCTTTGTAAGCTATGTTAGCATACTAACAGTATGCTAACAGAATACTAACAGAATCAAGTCAGTGTGCCTTGATTCCCTCCTCCCAAATTCCCACTGAAGCTCTAGTTCCCAGAACAATGGCATTCTCAGATGAGGCCTTTGGGAAGATTTAGATGAAGTCATAAAAACAGAGCCCCTGTGATGAGATTAATGTCCTCATAAAACGAAGAAATACAGGATTTCTCTGAAGACATGCATAGAGAAAACTCTTTGAGGACATAGTCAGGAAGACACCCACCTCTCCAGGAACCCAATCCTCTTGGTATCATGACTTTTAGACTCAGAAACCTGGTAACAGGTCTCTGTCATTTCAGGCACTCAATCTGCAGCATGCGTTAGAACAACCCACACCAAGACAGTAATTTTATTTTATTTTATTTTATTTTTTGCTAAGATGGGTCTCAGGTAACCCAGGCAAGCTCTAGATTTCCGGTCTCCACCTCTGAAAACCCAGTTTTGTTTTGTTTTCTTTTTTTCTGATATTATTCCTTATTCCACTTTTAGTAGCTTGTGAAGAGCTATAGATTTGGTTTACTCTGGGACAGCTGTTATTTTCCATTCCCAACTGTTTTTGTTATTGTTGCTAGTTCATCATATCCAGCTTCTGGACGTGTCTTTGAGTTGCTGGGAAAAAACAAAATGCCTGAGAAAAATAACTTACAAAGGAAACATTTGATTTGGATCCTTGTTTCAGTTCAGGGTCATTTGGCTCTGCTGGGGCTGTGGTGTGGGAGGCTATCATGGTGGGAGACCTTGGTTGAGTAAACCTTTCACTTCCTGCTGGCTTGGGAGCTGAGTGTTGGAAGGAGGAGGGAAGGAGAGAGGGAGGAAAGGAAGGAGGAAGAGAAGGAGGAAGGGAAAGAGAGACGTCTTTAGGGGATGACTACAGTTACCTACTTCTTCGAAGTATATCTTACCTCCGAAAGTTTCTAGCACTTCAAATAATGCCATCAAATTATGGCTTCATGGACCTCAGAACCTTGGTAAACGTCGGCGGTATCCTTACCTTGATCTGTCATCTGTTCTCTAGCGTGAATAGATGCTAGCTCACATTTCCCCAGGAATAATGTCATAAGACACCTGGCTGCTTTGGAATTCACTATGTAGATCAGGCTAGCCTCAAATTCATTGTGCATTGTTCTGCCTGTATCCTAAATGCCAGGATTACAGGGATCTGCCGTCACTCTTGCTTTAAAATGTTCTCGTGAAGTGACTCTCGCATCTAGACTTCTATCAACGAAGCTCAGGACATGGTCATGAACTCAGCTGCCTAGTTTATAGATACTCCACCCTCCCAATCCCACACTCAGCCTTTCCCTCAAAGTAAGTTCTATAACTTAGACGTCACTCTTGGGACAGGTCTCTGCACTGGAATAGGGAAGGCTCCTTTGCCAACTTGCTAACGTGACAAATATATTCTTCACACTCTCTCTTTTGTAGTTGACTCATTTTTTTCTTTTTCATTTTTATAAACTTTAGTATCTCCATGCTAAAACACTTGGGTCTATTATAATTATGAAATGACTTTAAGTTTTCTTAGGATACGACTTCTTCTCTGGATTATACTAACAATTTGCTTTGTCCTGGCTCCTAAACTCCTTTTTTTTTTTTTTTTGAGTGAAAGCTCATAATTTTATTGTCTTCATAACAAGATCAGCTTAGAACTGGATCACTTGGCCCTTTCTCTTCTTATCACCTCCCAGTTCAAAATGCTTGCATCTCTTAATAGCCAGCATCCCCTTAGATCTGCAGTTGGGTTCCACACATTCCAGTCTCAGCACAATCTTCTTTGTAGTTTTCACCTTTTTGCGGAAAATAGGCTTAGTCTGCCCACCGTAGCTACTCTGTTTCTTGTCATAACGCCGCTTTCCCTGGGCATACAAAGAATCTTTGCCCTTCTTGTGTTGTGTCACTTTGTGGGGTTGGTGCTTGCCGCATTTCTTGCAGAATGTCCGGCGGGTCTTAGGAATGTTCACCATGTTGACGGGTGCCCCTAAACTCCTTTTAAATGAAGAAGAGGACAGAGCATGAGAAAGGGGAGGAGGAGGACAGGAAGAGGGAAGCCAGGGATGATGAGGATGACTGTGGGAGGAGGGAGGGGAGGGAGGAAGACTATTCTCTATTCTTATAGAAACATTGCAGTTCTAACGTGTTCCTAGTGCAAAACTGTCACACGTTAAAAAGATGTGTTACTCCATAGGGAAATACATTTCCATCGATTCATTCAATGTGGCTTCTTCTCCCCAGATTCTGAAATGACTATTTCCAAACCCAAAAATTACATCTAAATGAGAAAGAAGTAAATGCCCAGGGTAGAACGACAGCTTGGCACACAGGCTAATCCACGAAGGAAAAGACTCATGGCAATGAGCAGCTGCCACAGAACTCTGAGCAGCAACACGGCACAGGCACTGCAGGTGAAAGGCTTAGCAATCATGGGTCTAAGTCTACACGGACTAGAGCACTGGTTCTCAACCTGTGGGTCACGGCCTCTCTGGGGGGGGGGGTCAATGACCTTTTCACGTGGGCCGTGTATCAGATAACCAGCATATCAGATATTTACATTATGATTCATAATTGTAGCAAAATTTCAGTTATGAAGAAGCAATGAAAAGAACTATGGTTGTCGTTGCCATGACACAAGGAATTGTATTAAAAGGTCACAGCGTTAAGAAGGTTACGAACCCCTGGGCTAAAGTAATACGAATAGCATTTAGCAATATAGATTATTATTGCAATCTTCCAGATTTTGTGGATTTCTCAAATTTATCATCAAGAATATAATTTGCTATAGATATTTGGAGTTGCCAGAGGCTCAAATTCTGGGCACCACAGTTTCGCCACACATGCACTCTGAACATAAGGTACAAATTATAGAGTGACCCTTCATTATCCAAGGGACAGTCAGTTATGGCTAAAGCCTAGAAAATTCTATACTTTGCAAACCAGTTTGCTTCTAAAACTTTGAAAGGAATGTTTAAAGCTACACGCACAAAAATACATAAGATATTTGAAAATCCCTTGAAGCCAAACCTCAGGCTCTAAATACGCTGAGTCAAAGCGCCACGGTGCGCGGAGCTCAGGGGAGAGTGGGGCATTCATTTGCTCTGTAGAGGACCAGAGAAGAATGAAGGGAGGGCCAAACGGCCAGTGTCTAAGTGGAAAGCAGCCTGACAGAGAGTGTGGCAAGGGTACAGCATTGGCAATTAGCTAATGTCAATGATACACTTAAGAAACACTGGGCATGGCAGATAATAAATCACAGCCAGCCATCATTAATAATCCATGACAGAAAGGAAAAGCAGGAGCGAGCAGTCAGTAACAAGATCCACGGCGGAACAGAAGTGCCCTATAATTAGAATTGTTTCTAATACCAGAGGACCTGGGGAAGGCTTTGTAGTGACGCGCCCACTGAATGGCCGTGGGGTTGAGGGGCACATGGTTGGGTTCTAAGCTTCTCACTTACTCTACTTCATGTTAATCATATACAGGGATGCTCTTAAAGGTAGATGGTGCTGTATTATGCAAGTATAATAGGGTTACGCATTCCTAAGGACATTGTAGTTCCACATGAAAAATGTATAGCCAGTCTTGCCTCTCTTGGAAGTTTTTAACTAGACAGCTTCCCCAGGGACAGCAGGGAATGCTGGCCACCATTTCCAGATTCTCCACATAAAGAAACTGAACACCTTCCAGTATCCAGTTGATGATTCTGTCCAATGTTGTTAACCGTATCTTATCGACGATGCCAAAGTTCATCATGGTAAGTGCACTGTGCTAATTTTAAAGCATGGGTTGGGTCATTAAACTGGCAGGATGATACAGGGTAAAATATGTAAAACATTAGAGAAAGGAAGAGGCAGTATTGCCAAGGTGAAGACTTTGAAAGTCAAAGGAAGCTTCCTGCATCGGATGTCTCGTAGGAGACCTTCAGAATTTGTAGGAGATATCCAGGCAAAGAGACAGGAAGAGTGAAGATGACTTTAAGTGAGACACACATAAACCTAAAAGCAAAAAGCAGCATGACAATGTGGAAAACAAGAAGTGATTGAATCTTTGCTGCGTAGATTCTGAAGTCTGAGCTATGATAGTCAAATACGGGGCTAAGCTGGTGTGCTTATCTGATAGAGTCTGGGCAGTAGTCATAGTGGTAATTGAATGATGAAGGAATTTGGAAAGAGGTTGGGATAGAATAGCAATGTTTAGTGTTTGTGGTAGTTTGAATGTATTGACCCCATAAATTTACAGGTAGTGGCTCTGCTAGGAGGCGTGGCCTTGTTGGAGGAAGTGCAATCTTACTGAGGAGGCTGGATGGTACACGCCTCTAATCCAGACCTTGAGGCTGCAGGGCACACCTTTACTCTGGTTCACACATTCTTTGGTAGTGTGTCACATGGTGGGGAGGGGATTTGAGGGTATTTATTACAGAATTATAATTTCCTAGTTATTCTTTTATTGCTTCTTCATAGAACACAGCCTACTCAATAAATATTTGATGAATGAATTAAGAAAGATACAAGCCAAATTCAGGCAGATTTGCTTTTCTTTGTAACCTAACCTGGGAGGACAGTACTCGTCTCCATTTTACTATATTGGATTTTAACAATGATGTTTCTAAGATTGTTTTTCATTGAGATCTATAACATGGGGAAAGAGAGACTATTTTCCTAAATTTTTATTTTAGGGATTCCCCAATAATAATAAAAAAGAGAATAACCAGTCTTTTCAATAATCTGCCCTCCTCTCTCTCTCTCTCTCTCTCTCTCTCTCTCTCTCTCTGTGTGTGTGTGTGTGTGTGCGTGATGTATGTATGTCTACCTGTCTGTGTCTGTGTCTGAACTGAACATGGTGACTCACCTATGCTCCCAGCACTGAAGAGGTAGAAAGATTATAATTTTGTGGCCAGCCTGGGACTAAAAATTGTGTTCAAGGCCTGAGCCATGTGGCCAGATCCTGTCCCAAAAAACAAAACAAAAAGTTCTATGTTCATTGTACTTTACTCCGAGCTGCTAAGGATATTTGCATTTAGGCTGTGTATTATGGTGCATTCCTGTAACACCAGAACTCAGGAAGCTGAAGCAGGAGGATTGTCAAGAAATCAAGGCCAGCCTTGGCTACATAGTGACAGTTCTCAAAATGCCAAATAAGAATGTATGCATAACCGTAATAACGTTGTTGCTGCTAAAAAAGATATAACCATCTAATATGGTTTTGAGCTCTTCTAATTAATCCCAAAATATCTTCCCAAGGTTCAGTGATGCTTCGTTGCTTACTCCGTAAAATGTGAGCTTTCTGAGGCAAAGGTGCTGAAGATAATTTAATATTCAACAGGCAATGTTGAGAAAGCCTGCTTGTTTTCTGATTAAAATTGCCTTCTTTCTTTTTGGCTAGTCAGTTTAGTTGGCAGGGATATTGTAATTTATGAGTCTTAGGTCAAGGGCTCACGCTCCATATGGGTCCCCTCTCAGTCCTAGAAGGATAATCTCTCTTGGCGTAATTAGACAATGCACTCCATGCTTTGGGTAATGGCATAAGGTATGCCTTTGATACTGGAAGGAACTGAATGAGCATATATATATATATATATATATATATATATATAAAATTTACACACACACACCAACACACACACACATACATACCGCTCTATGAAATAATAGATATTCATCTGGAACAATGTCTTCATCACCAAACTGTTGTTCGTACATAAATAATCCCATGCTTACATCATGGTGTGCTCTTTTTCTTCATGGGATAGGGTCTCACTATGTAGTCTTGGCTGGCCTGGAACTTGCTATGTAGGTCAGGCTGGCCTCGAACTCACAGACATCTGCCTCCCTCTGCCTCCTGACTACTAGGATTAAAGGCGTGCGTCTTCATGCCTGGCATGGTGTGATTTTTGAAAGAAATACCAAAGGTAGGCGGACACCAATTGCATCCATTGTACCTGTACCAAGCCCTCAAAGCACAGAAAATATTAAGTTCAGATACCTGAGCTTTTATTCAGGGCCAATATTTTATCTTTTAAAATATAGTTTTTTTAAATTTATTATTATTTTAGCCAGGGTCTCATGTAGCTTAATCTGTCCTCAAACTTGTTATGCAAATGAGGCTGGCTTTGAACTCCTGACTCTTCTCCCTCAGGCTCTCAAGTGTCGGGTCCCCAGGACTGCAGCATACTGGCCCATTCTCTGCTCTTCTCACCCTCCTTCCTCTCTCTTAATTCCCTCTGTCTTTGCAAATACATAAAGGGTGTATTTGTTTGGGTTTTGCTACTGTGACAAACTATGAAAAGCTAAGTACTTCTAAAGAAAGGGGTACTGGCTAGAGGGTGTAGGGGATAATGGGGCTTGCTACCTAGTTGAGTGTCCTCAGTTTGATCTTGGTTTCCCCCACGGTGGAAGGAAAGAATTGACTGTTAAAAGTTCACGTCTACCTTTACGTGAACACTTTGGCACAGTTATACCCTCACCCACCCACATTGGTACATACTCCCCCAATGTACACATACATACAAAATAAATAAATAAATTGTAAAACCAAACCAAAAGAGGTTTGTGTAGATTTTCGTCTCAGAGGCTGCAAATCCCAACAATATAATACTACCTCTGGTGAGGACCCTTTTAGCCATATCACCCATGATGGGAACTTGCTGGGGAACGTGTGATCACAGGGTGAGACCAGAAGCCGAGCCAGGGGGAGGTCTTCTTGCATCCTTCCTCAAGACCCTATCTACCCTTTAAAGATCCCAACACCTCCTTTATTGTCACACTGGGAACCAACACTTAAGTATTTGAGAGACAAAAATGCATCCAAACCACAATGACAGACAGTTCCTGCTTTTTTCTCTTCCTTTTAAAATGTATATATAATGCCAGGTGGTGGTGGTGCACGCCTTTAATCCTGGCACTCGGGAGGCAGAGGCAGGTGGATCTCTGTGAATTTCAGGCCAACCTGGTCTACAAGAGCTAGTTCCAGG